ATATTAGTGGGAGCTTTCCCTGAGGGAAGACTTTCCCTGAGCTGAGAGTCCATTCACTCCTATAACTGCATGGTTGCTGAACTAGGGGATGTCCTCTCTGGACCATATTCCCTGGCCCTGCTCCCCTCCCAGCACCAGAACCACCATGCAGAACTCTGATGCTGGGCTCCCCCACCACCCAGCCCACAGCAAGTATGTTCATATTTCTGGGAAGAATACCAGCAGGTGGAAGTTTAGTATTATTTTTACTGTTGCTGGTATAGTGAATGTAGAGAGCATGATAATTGATTATGTGGGACAACAGAAATACACAGGAACTAAAATTTTGAGGATTAGGGTCTCCCTGAGGATTTCCTTCGAGTTTCGGTGAAGGGAGAGATAACTTTTGTGGTGGAAATGGAAACACAGCTTCCAGTTCCTATCTGCAGCCAGCCTCTGGAGACAACAGTGTTAAGGGTGATGTGAACCTCCTCTGTTCATCGCTGTGGGACAGGAGCCTTGATGCAGTTATCTGCACTTCTATAGCAATACTATTCAACTCCTTGCAGCTTATTTTTTGTCCTATCAGAGACATTCAACTAATGCCTGCCTTTAATGTGTCTGGGGGTAATGGTCTCATGTTTCATCTGTTTTAAAGGACGTTTATGGAAAGTAGGTGCCAATTTTATCCTGAGTAAGCAGGCTAATATTCTGTCACTCTGCATTACTCAAGTGACTGTAGCTCTTAGAAAATAGATATTAGGTGTTTTTGGTTAAGTGGCATTAAAGTTTTGTGGACTAAGCAGTGGGATTTCATTGCACATGCATTGTCCCATTTTAGTGGAAGCTTTGCATTAACACGTTCCATCTTAATAAATTATTTGGTTCACCTTGCCTTGTGATTTATCCTATCATAAGATCCTGCCCTTAATATTAAAATGTAAGCACAGATTTCCTCTCCCAAGGCTAAACCTGCACAAAAGGACTTACACTGAAGCTCAGAATTTCTCTGCCTGGATCAAGATAATTTTTCTCTGAGAATAAGGAGAAACAAATATCCATGCACTTTGGAGAGAAGGAAATTCTACTGTAGGTTATTCTTCCTCCGTTGTGTTAAAAAAAGGAATCTTGACTGAATATATGGTTTGTTTCCAAACTATTGGCATCTTTCACAAATGTAGGCTGGCTGGCTTATGAACAAATAATAGTTTCTGTAGCCAAAGATAGTTGTCATCATGCACTTATTAATGAGTCTGTGTATATCTGAACATCAAATGCTGTCCTATTTTCAGAGATCCTTTCAGATCTTGTTTTCTGTTCATTTTTTTTTTGTTTTTTTTTTTTTTTTCCCCTTAACCTTCTGCCATTTTCTTTCAAAGCTCAGTGGTGGAAAGCTTTGAAAGGGACCTAGGAAAGGAGATGTTCTCATCTGTCCAGCTTCCCCACATCAGGAGCTACTCAGTGCATGTCATTCTTGGCAGATATTTGCTCAATCTGCTCTTAAAAAACTCCAGTGATGGGGCTTTGACAGTCTCCTTCAGCAATCTGCTCTGGTGCTTTGCTATACCTGTCATTAAGAAGGGTTTCCTGATATCTAACCTGCAATTAAAGGCCATGATTTCCCTTGCAACCCATCATCAGGCTGACTTTACAGCCAAACCAGCTCCACCAAGTCAGCTGCAGTTTCCTCACTAGGTCTTCCTTGCCCATACTGCTTCTTGGGCAATGTGCTCTGTTCTGGCTGTAGTAGCTGAGGTGGTGTGTGTGCCGCTGCTTTTGTAAGTGTCCAGCCTGGTGTCCCAGGAGCTGGCAATGGGCAGGTTTCCCTCTCAGATCCCATGCAGCTGTCAGGAAGGTGGCTGCCTGTCAGTAGTGGGTATTGAATTAGGAGATTCAGTAAATCCCAGGAGAGGCACTGCCAGAGTGAAGTTGCAGCAGTTTTGTACAGATAAAACTAGCAGCACTAACCATGGCTCCAGGCCTCAGAACATGAGCTGAAGCCTTTTTTGTCCTGGAACAAAATGTGCTGTGAGAGCAGTTGTACTACCTATTACATATATGCAATCAATCACATTCTAGCAGTTTGGACATACGTTTTTTGATAAAAGCATTTCTGTAATGATTTTAGCAGTTTTAAAGCATTTTAAAAAATCAGAGTGATCACAGATTTGGCTTTTAAACAATAGCATCCCATGGCAGCCAAACCTGATGGCAAAGCTGTAGATGCCAGCCTGCTGTGAATGAGCTCAAGATCCTGGGGAACTGAGGCAGTCATGATTGAGAGTGGGTCAGTGTAGGCACAGGCATATCACAATATTACCATTGCGAGATAAACTCCAAGCTAGTTTTTTAATACGCTTAGGACAGTGCTGAACATTGTAGAAGTGCTTTCTTCTGCAAATTATTTGCAACTGGAAGATGGTAGTAATGAATTACTGTAAAGCAACTGAAGAATTTTCCCTGGCTGATCAGAATAGGTGTTTTTTACAATGGAAACTAGCTAGATATATTAGATGTATTTCTGCTGCCTGAGTAAATTATAGCAGTATGTAGCTAAACAGGTTTTGAGACTAGGGGATTTTAGTGACATCCAAAATAAATAAAGTAAGGTTTGGATCAGTAGGAACAGGGGCATGTTCACCCCTGGCTGTTATTCAGCAGGGGTGAATAACCTTTGTGTAACTGGCAATTTTGGTAAGTGTGTCAAAGTCGGTGGGGTTTGTCTCTGTATTTTGGCATATGCACTACAAACACCCTGATATCTATTTCATTTTACAAGGTGTGTGCATGCACCAAGATAATGCTCCAGAGGGTCACTGGCAGGGTACAATGTGCCAGCCATCACATGCACAATGTCTAGCATGGTACCAAGGTAGAATTTCAGGGATCTGGAAGCACCAACAGCATTTGGAGCCCTACACAACACCTGTACCCCACCAATATCTCCCTAGCTGTCCATCACTGAGCATCCCATTGGCATCCGTGATCCCGAGCTGACAGGTCTGTTTCTATTTGAGCAAGGTGTTTTTAAGGCATTCATCCCCCAGTTGTCTTCTAGATGACCTGGAAGAGCTTCAGCGAGTTACCCATATTCCTTCTTTGAGGAAAGGAAGGGACAAAGTTTGTTTTCAAAATGAGATTTTGGTTTTTCTTTATAAAATACAAATTTGGACTTTGTATTCCACACTGCATGGAGGTAGATTTATTGTGGAAGAGAGGTTTCAGTTTCAAACTAATAATTAGAAGAACACATTTAAACCTTTGTCAATATAAAAGTGATTTCAGGTGCTCAGGAATCCTCTGACTCTTTCTTGTGGTTTTAAAGAAAAATTTAAAATATTTTCCAACCTGCAACTATTGAGGGCAGTGAGAGAAAATAACTATTAAGCTGCTAGGAAACATACAGAATAAACTGATAAAGTCTCCCACTTCCTGCTTCTTGTAATAATCGTCAATTGTAGGTGCTTCTCAAAATACACTTTTTGACAAATTTTGCACTGTCAAAAATGGTATTTTCTGTTGGGCAAACTGTGTTCATGCCCCATGGCTGACAAGCAGAGGCCTGAGTCAAAGCCTGCTGGAGTCAAGGGGCTTTCATTGAGATGCAGACCCTTCATGTTTTCCTAAAAATCAACAGTGCTGTTAGCCCACATCTCCCCTTTCCCATCCCATCTCCTCGGGGAGAGGCAGAAGCCTGTTTGAAGACAAACAAGTCACAGAGCCTACAAGGTGTAAATATCTTTCATAAATGCCAACACTGAAAAGCCTGGGCGCCGGGTGTGTGACACACGAAGACAGGCAGTTCACGCTGAGTGAGGGGTGAACAATATGCCAGCGCTGCCACAACCACCGAGGTATGCCTGGATTGCACCTGGGCATCCCTGGACCCCCTGTCCTGCCCCACCCCGGGGACACACATATGGGATAGCAGGAGGGAGGGGGAGCAGTACTACCTGCTCCTCACCCCCGTTGCCTCTGCCCTCTCCCCTTGCCCCTGATCTGGTCACGCTGCCTTTGCCCTCCTCCTCTCCCTGGCTCCTTTGGGCACAGGCTGATTTAAATGGGTTGGCAGGGAGCCAGGAGCTCATCATTTTAATGCAGTGTAAAATAGAATGTGCATAATTATATGCAAGCCATATGTGAGGGAGACAGCTCAGCTGTGAATTTAGGGAGGCTGTGAGAGGGAGAGAGCGAACAGTCAGGAATCAGATGAGATGGAGCAGAACGAAGTGCAAGTGTCACTCAAATGAACAGTGTAATGAGCGTATTGCTGACACTCCTCCTTTCACCTGCTTCTCCCTTTTGCTTTAACTCAAAAGCAGAAAACGCTCTAGATGAGAAGGGAAAAATACTGTATGCAAGCAGGATTGCTAATGGGCTCTGGTAATGTCTCCGTTTAAACTTCAACTTTCTTAATAACAGCGTAGTTCCAAATAACCAGTAACTTTTAATGCATCTTTGTCATTAAATATTTTGATCGCATGGGACTGAAGGATCATTGTTGTCTCTAAATGATTGCTCCTTTCAAAGCTTCACTTAAACATGGAGGGGGAATCAATTTATTTATAATAGTGTTATATGTAAATTATGGGTATGAAAACCTTTTTTTTTTGGCCTTGCTGTTAAACTAAAAATACAAGTACATTATCTAAGGATCGCTTAAGCATGTCAAAAAGTTTAAACGAGTACATATGTAATGTAATCCTGACAAATGCAATGGAGTAAATTGAAACCCTGAATTACTCACAGTTTCCAGCTCAAATATTTCATTTTGGGTTTGTCTTTTGTTGTTTTAATTATAGCACCACAATGAATTTGCATGTTCAACCTAAGCTATGTAAGAAAACAGCATCCCAAGTTCTCATATCTAAAAGGTATACTGAATATTTAAAGAAACTTTTTAATAATGTTGTATTTTGGGATTCCCGTCTGTTGTAATGATCTGAGCTGTTATGCTTTTAGCTATTTTTTTCCTTCCATTATTTGTAAGTCCCTAAATAGGACATTATATTTCCCTTCAGGCTAGAGATGAAGATGGACATGCTGAAAATTTTCCCCAGCAGCACTATGCTAAGGAAACTCCAAGACTTGCCTTCAAGAATAACTGCGAACTACTTGTAAGAATAACATACTTACAACAAGTCTAGATTGTTACTTTAGCACAGTGAAAACCGTTTTTTTTAAAGGCTTTTGTTTATTATGACATACATTATGAAATATGATAGGTTTTTTTTTCCTGTTTAGCATTCTAATGCTAGTTCTGCTATCCATGAACAGTTTAAAATCTCAAATTGCTTGAAAAATCTCATATATTTGATGTCAGCACGTGAATGGCCTTGTCATACTACCTTGTCTTGCACTGGTAAATCAGGGAGAGCCATGCAGGGAGTGGCTGATGATGCACGAAAAGCCCCTCCTCCCCCCTGAACTCCTCCAAAACTCACTCTCCCATCCACCTTTTAGCTTTGTTTTTGGGTGGCAGTGCTGCATTTTGTTCTGCTGGCAGGCAGTCCTCCCTTTAGCGCTCACCTATTCCACCCCTTCATAGCTGCATGCCATGCGGAGCATCCTCTCCTCTCCATTCCTCTCCTCTCTATTCCTCTCCTCTCCACTCCTCTTCTCTGCTGTGGGGAAAGAGCAAAAGCTAGGAAAGCTTACGTACAGGGAACCTGGAGTATTTACAAGCCATAAGAGAGATGATATCAGCTGTGAAAGAATCTCTGTTCCAAGGCAGGGTTAATTTGCTGTTCATTTTAGCGTTTGCAGCTAGGCAAGATTAAAAGCAAGCAGGAATGCCTATTATATTTCTGCTAAATGAATCTTTTGGGATCTAATGTTCTTGATTAGCTTGTGAAAATGAGTGCTCCATGATGAGTTTTTCTGTTTGCCTAAAGTAAACAGAGGATGAATTGTAATACATTTAAAAGAGATTCATGCGTGGCTTTCAAAAAGGGAGGTTTAGATAAGTAGATAGATCTCTCCCTTGCATTCACCTTTCTTCTGGTTTGTACTTAAGTAAAATCTATCATTTGGCTAAATGGAAGTATTTGTGGAGAGTCAGGACATGAGATTAGACTTTGAAACAACAACAACAGCACTTTTTTTTTTTCTCATTGTGGCTACAGAAGAGGCGGATGGCAGTGGAGGAACATGCTGTGTTTTATCTGCATTAAAGCCTGTACCTGCCTTCCCCATAGAGGATGCAGGGACAAATGCTAATCCTGGTGTCCCAGGTGCAACAGCCATTGAAAGTTGACCTGTTAAGCTGACCTAACCTGGTGCTGAAGTTGGCCCCCAGGTTCAGTCAGCTGATCAGAGAAGGCCACACCTGGGGCAGCAGCTCGAGGGATGGTGGCCAATCCTCTCTCCCAGCACTAGCCAAAGTGCAAAGCATCTTGCACCTGCATTAGTGGGCCACAGGCTCTTCTACCCCACAAGTGTCTCCTGAGCCAACCCTGGTTAGGTAAAGACAATGCTTTTTAGAGCCACAGGTGTCACTCAGAAGGGTCAGTTTGTCCCCAGTACCCAGCCCAGTACCCAGTACCCAGTCACAGTACATGTGACCCATAAGATTTGGTCTTGATTCCTCTTAAACCCTTTGCAAAGTTCCTGGTGATTTCAGAAGAAGCAGTGTTAGATCCTAAGGGGAGAAAACTGGACAAACACAGAAAGTGATTCCCTGGTGTACTCATAATTCTTGTGCCAAATAAATGAAACTGTTTCTTCAAGGCCATGCTTACTTACTGTGACACTGGTCTAATCGGGCCCGATAAACCTAGAGCTGGGACACAACTTGATATAAAATAAGTAATGTATTAGTTCCATTGAAAATCTGCTTTGTTTTTAGTGTAAGCAATCAATGAACCAATTAACCCACTTTATGCTATTAAAATCAAGCATTCTTTTAATGTCCAGTTGCTTATTCCTCTATTAGTACATATTTAAGTTTTTGTTGTTATATTATATCCCCCCTGTACCTGGCGAAATCTCAAGTCATCAAAGTTAATCTTTCACGTGCTTTTTTGGACAAGTTTCAGTTCTTGTTTAAGGAAGTAATAAAAGCAATTTGTTATAGTTTTATTTTTTTTATGCTATTGGAAACAAAATTGGCAGGGGTGTAATCTGTACTCAATTTATGTGTGAAAAAGAAATGGTAGACAAATAATGAATATGTACCTCTACTATCCTTAAAGATGTATTTTAGGAACTTGCAGTGAAAATATGATGTTGGGCGTAAGTTGGGGTGGTAGGGGAACTAATGTTATTCATTGAAGTTGCTATGTGTTTCACGGAGAGGTAGTGGTATTCCTTCTATATTTTTACTTTTTGGGAAGCAATGCTATATTAAAATGTGCTCAAGTGTAAAGCAAATTTCACCAGAACCGGCCATTTACGCACCATCTTTCTCTTAAAGACTAGTCAGTATTCCTAGGGAGAGGAGTAGAAAAACCACATGAAAGAAAGGAGTGGGGACACCTGACCCTCTAAAAAAATATTTTCCCAATGGTGAAAACTTACCCGGAATCTTCACAGCACAGGGCAGATGGTGCCTAAGTGAAAAACTGAGATTTTTTAAATGAAAGAGAAAATGAAACTTGTTTGCGCTTTTCAGAATCAGGAAATCCTTGGAGTTTTCTGAGTGCAGTTGAGAGTAAGAAGTGTAATAGCATGTCAGGTGAAATTGGAGGCTTTGGCTCAGAAGTGCTTTCTTTGCTTTAGGGTTCAGCTGCCATTTTCCAGTGAGGTTTGTTTCAGCAAGTGCAGGCTCTTCCGTTTGGGAAATACTCGTGCTGGTAGAGTGCTGCCAGGCAGGATCCAGGGGCTGAGTTGCTGCTGCCTGGTCTGCATGCCAGGGCTTTCCCGCAAGAGTCGGGCTACACTGACTGAATCTTAAAATCGCAGGTCACAGGCACACAGAGCAAACTTTAGCTTCTCAATACTTGGAGAGATTTTAAAGCATAGTCACACTGATTATTAAAAAAGTAACCTAGAGTATTACAAACGCAACATAGAGGATTACAAATTGTATGTTTTCTTCATTTCTTACTCCTCAGAAGAGGAGACAATTTGGGTGGTGAGGTACAACTCAGCTATTCTATTTGTTTGAGGTTTTTTCTTTTTCAAAAGAGAACAAGTTTGATAGAAAATAAGAGGGAGGAAGAAAGGTATAATTTAGGCAGAAGAAACCCCTGAAGTACTTACCGTAGTTCTGCTCCGTAAGAAAAGCAGTGATAATTAAGTATTTTGGTTGGTATAGAAAGCCATTGTGCAGTTATAGGATTATGATAGGGTATTCATTTCCAATGCTAAATCCAGATATGTTTTGCCCTTACATTTGTTGTAGGGTGCAAAAACCAGAGTGGTTAAGAGGCTCCAATCCATGAGCACATGAAATTATTCCTTTGTACTTTTCAGTATTTTTGAGGATCATGTTTTCTTAAGTTTAGCTATCCATGATAAATATTGGGAACTACATAAAAGAAATCTATTTTTAAGGAGCCAGGTCAGCATGCTGTCTTGGCCAGCCATCCATTCTTCTCCCATAGATGCTGCCTCAGGATTTGAGTTTCTTATTCCATGAGTGGCTGGAAGCTTTTCTTTTCAGGCACATCTCTTTGTTTCCAGAAGGAAAAGGCAGAAATTAGTCCCTCCTCTAAGCTGATTGTCAAGGAGCAGTACAGTCCAGCTAATTGTGGATGTGGGGAGAAAGATGGGATTAACTGTGGAGAAAGGGGAGGCTGGAGTGAAAAGGCCAGAGAGAAGGCCACAGCCTCAGCTCTAGCTGGATGAAATTCCTGAGCCATTGCCTAGAGAAAGGAAAAATCCATTTGGCATCTACCCAGGTTAGTCAGGGTAGGAAGAGTCATGCTTGGTTGCCTTTTAACAAAAGTGGGAAAGAAAAACCTACTGTTTGTCCTTCCTCCCCCCATTTACTCAGAATATCAAGTCAAGGTTTCAGATTGGCATGCTGCTGTATGAGGTAAGGAGGGTTTGATGGGTTAAGGAAATTAAACACCAAGTTGCTTTCCAGATCATTTGTTTATGGAGATGATGTGAGTACCACCCACCGCTATGGGATTATATGTAAAGCAAACAAATAACAAAACATAAACACCCTGAAAAAAATTTCTTTTCCAGTGGTAATCCACGGTTTTCCTGCAATCAAATCATGAATCTTTTCGTCTTTGAAATAAAAAAGTCTGCTCCTAGTAGTTCTGCTCTGAAAGTATACATTTGTAAGTGCGATATGCGATGAATTATAAGTTAGTCCTGGTGCTTGGAAGCTATTATGTAAAAGACACAAAATAAAACAAGCTTGCTATTGGATTTAATGCAAACTCACCTACAGCCAGTTATCTTTAATCATTGACAAAAAGAGGCAGAGAAAGCTCTGAAAACACCTCTACAACTGAAACATGAAATGCAAAATGTTCTCCTATGAGCAAAAGGCCTCTGGGGAGGCTATGGCAAACCTGAGATGAGCCAGAGCTACAGCTAATGCTTTTCTTGAAGTTGTGTTGCTCTGCTCTGCTGTTTTAGCACTAGAGGCATGGTCAGAAAAAATGGCACATGTGGGGCATCCAGACGGGCAGCAAGGATGCAGGCAGTTTAACTTCAGAACTATGGTACTGGAATGTGGGAAAGATTTCATACCTGCTACACTGATATTAAAAAGCACTGAGAATATTTTTCATGAGATGAAGCCAATAGGTTTTGCAGTTGTCGTCAATTTAAGTGTAAATAGGCATATCGTTATCCTTTGAAGGCCATGAGAGTTTTGGTTTCAGAAAATGAGGCTTGAATACTTTTTGGAAAGGTAAGTAACCTGCTTCCTGTGCCCCAGGGTCAAACCCCCTCCCTGTTAGTGCTTCAGCAATAAAAGAAAATAGCTCTCAGCCCATTTATAATCACAGTGCCTTCAAAGGAGGACTGAATTAGGGAGAGATAGCTTTGCTCATCCCCTCTCTTACCTTTCCACCCTTTTTGTTTCCCATGCTGTCTCCTTATTCCTAGCAGAGTGGAGAGTGAAAGCAAATGCACTTCCGCTTCTGCTCTCCCTGGCTCTTCCTTCAGCCCTGTTAGCTGCAAAGTGGCAGAGGGAGAAGGAGAGCACTTC